AGTAATAAATTTACGTGGTGTTTCCACAAACAAAAACAATTAAGAATATATATGTTGAATTTTTTTCCAAGATCAAGTGGAATCTGTTAACTTGCGCGCTGTTTTGCCTTTGGATAACAAGTTTTTTTGCTATCGGATTTCATATTCGCGTTGCATTGTGGTAGAGACGAAATGCATGTTGGTTGAAAACAGTTGAAAATGATCCAGCAAAATTGAGATTTTGAACAGCTGTACGATTTTACTGCTGCCTTGCTCGCTCGCTTAACACTTGCTCGCTGCGGCAGCAATAACACCTGCATGAGTTCAATATGCACCACAATCACCATAGTATAGATTTTAAGACATACAGTTATATACAGATATCGAAGGAACTAGATTCAGTTCCGAAATATCACTTACTCGAACCGACTTGACCTCCTAGCCTACTGTAGTAGGTAGAACGTTAAACTAGCATACCAAAGGAACCAAAGGTACTCAGAGAAGCATGAACAAATAATTATAAAACCCGAGTTCAATATGCAGCACGACCATCAGAGTGTAGTTAGGGGCGGTATATTTTGCATGTGATTTTTTTCCACTGGGACGTGTTTACAGGGTGTTGGCTAAAATTTTAAAAAATATGCGTTTAACTGAAATTGGGAAATTTAGCCGGAATGTGCAGTGGGAGCGCATTTCTTTGTGGGTCTGGGGACATGTGTCCTCCCGATTTTTTAAATTTTTGTGTCTCAGTTGAAATGCCATTTCCCGTATTTTGAGAGCAATTCTGAGCAAACGTACTTTTAAACATGTTTTTAATGGCGTATTAACAACACATTGACGGCAATTAGACAAACTACATGCAGTCTAGAAAAATATAACAGCATACCATGCAGCGCTGTCAAAATAAGTAGATCAAGATTTCAAGGTAAGTTAAAATTAAATTCATAATTAGTAGAAATATCTATATAATATTTTTAATAACTGCAGTAAAAATAAATTTCATTTTGTGATCAACTAATGTAACTAATGTAAAACTAAACAATAGTATATACAAATACAAGATGTCTACAAGTTCATATTATCAATGAAAGATACGGTACTAATTATCAGATATGAAAAAATTATTGAATATTATGTAACTATTTTTTGGCTCACCCAAATTGGGAAATTGCGACCTCATGGTAATTGGGAAAACCGGTTTAACGAGGAATTTTGGGTGTGAGTGTACATTTAATAGCCTGCGTTGAACAACACGGCGACAAAGTTGTAAATCGATAAAATAACAAATAAGTAAATATATTGAATTTGAAGTATTATAAAGAGTGCTGTCCAACTACAAGTCGTTATGACGTTATCACTCACTTAATTGACAGACAGACAGACAGACAGACAGACAGACAGACAGACAGACAGACAGACAGACAGACAGACAGACAGACAGACAGACAGACAGACAGACAGACAGACAGACAGACAGACAGACAGACAGACAGACAGACAGACAGACAGACAGACAGACAGACAGACAGATAAACCGTTTATTAGAATCATATGGCAGCCTTTCGGCTGAATTGTATGAAGCTTTACAATAATTTTATACAAAATTTAAAATTTATAAACTACTGTAATAATTTATAAATTACTATACATATTTATAATATAGTCAATCACCGTATATGAGCTGTTCTGCAATCTGATTGGTTGAATTACTCGCCGTATATCAGCTCATATACGGCGAGTAGCGAAAAACAAGATGGCGGTCCAAAAACAACACGAGTTTTGCGAAGCAGAAAAAAGGAAAATATTCGCTTTGAGAAAGATAATAGTACAAGGAAAAACTCTCAAAAAAATTTGACAGGTTAGCAAAATACATTTGTTACATAGAAATTAGTTTAAATACAAGTTTTTTAAAGAATTAATACCGAAACAACAGCGAAAAAAACATGTTCATTAAGAATATAAATTGTTCAGAAAAGTTTGCAACGAAAGACAAATGAATGTACAGTCAACAAGCACTTACTATACTACCAAACATCTGTATAATATATCTGAGCTTTTCTGTGCGATATATCGGTTCTAAAACCATTTCTTTCACTTCGTCTTTGAGTTGTAAAACAAAAGTTAAAAGTATTTCAAATTTTCAAGGCCAAGCGGTTTTTGGCCGAACAAATTGTCAAGACATTGTAACAGAGGATAATTAATTATTGCTTCAGTTAATGGCTCTTAGACTATATTATAAAACAATTATACCATTCGCTCTCGTCGTACATGGCTGATAGCCGACTCGGTGCTACGCACCTCGTCGGCTATCAGCTCATATACGACTCGAGCTCATGGTATAATTGTTAAACATACAATAAAATGGTAAGAAGACATCTACATAATATATTATTCATTTAAGAGACTTAACATTATAAAAGTGTTCCTACATCTGTTTGTACGGAACTTAGGAATATAAAATTGTTTTGAACTTCTAAAGTAATAAATATCTGGAACGTTCATAGGCAATAAATGGTGGAGTTTATGATTCTCATCGTCAACAATTAATTTAAAAAGTTTACTACACAGATCTTCTCTTCTCAACCATAGACTCTTCATATCTAGAGTAGTTAAGGCATCTTCATATGATAGATCCGGGAAAATGATACGCAATGCCCTTTTTGAATTCTTTCAATTACGTCCGATAAATACTTAGGTAAGCCATAATGGAAAACCTGCATGGCAAGCATATTCGAGGATCGTTCTGACGGATGCAATAAAGAAGCATTTTAAATCTTTGCTATCAAGACCAGACCTCTTCAGTTGTTTCAGTAGATAACGACGTTTTGCAGCTTTCTTAGTTATTTTGTTAACATGTTCATTTTAGATCTTGAGTTATCGACATCCCGAGAATTATTGCATTTTCTACCCGAGCAGTGGTTTGTCCCTGTATTAAAATAGTTGCAAAGTCTGGCCGGTTCTGTTGAAAGTTAATTACCATTTCTTTACATTTTTTTGGATTAAGTTCAAATTTATTACAAACCGTCCAATCCACAACAGAGTTTGTCACTTCCTGAATGGAATCAGTACTATCTTGGTAAGAAAGGTATTCCCAAATATTGGTATCATCAGCATATTTAATCATATCACCCATAAACTGATCATCTGAGATCATGAGGTCATTTATCATAACGAGGAATAACCAAGGGCCGAGCTTTGTCCCTGTCAATACTGTAGCGCGACCGTCTTATTTGTTAAATAATTTACTAATTCTTGCAAAATATTTAGTTTAGTATCAACCAAGTGGGCTGTGATTAAAATTACACTAATTACCAAATTAGAGCCGGCCGCGCTGGCGGCTACCTGGGATAATGTGGTTTTAGTTTTCTTTAGCTCGCTTAACTCTCATGGAGTAATAGTCTAACAGTTGTGTTATATTCTTTCTTATAATTCGCCATCACCACTGATCTAATAATAGACCATCACTCGCATGCCTGAGGTACTGTAATAGTCGTTTTTTTAACAAAACAACTGCTGCTGCAATACAAGAAGTTAAAAGAAAAATTACCTGTTAACATCTGATGAATTATATCATTGTTTTCTCTTCAGTTACCAAGCTTCCTAATCAGTTGTGAGCCAAGCACCAGGTGTACCACTAAAAAAAAGTTCAGGGTATAGTGATATCACTGAAAATCTTTAAACAACTTGAGCGAATTAATTGCGAATACTGTAATTCATATCATAACTGCATCAATCGTTACAAAAAGTGGCTATATATACTTTAAAAACAACCATGATATCAAAGTAAATAGAATAACACATATACAGTTCTGCTCAGAAAGACAGAAATGACCTAACACTGCGTTCGCGCCCCATTTGCGATGGAACGCCAAAATTCAGGAAAACGGGGGCAATTTACGGAGATTGCCGATTTCAGCAGGCGCATATCATGAACACGTTCAAGTCCGAGCGGAACGCAAATTAGAACGCGTACGGAACGCAAATGAAACGCGTTTTCTGTTAGTTTATTTTTCAGGTGTAGGTAGTAAGGTAGGTAAAACTTTATTTGACTACGCTAAACCCCTACAGCGAAAGCTAGCTGATTTCCAAGGGGGGCGTAGATTTAAATAGTTAGAAAAATTACAATTGATATCGTATACATGAATTAAATGAAACACGTAAATGTTTGTTTCTTGCTTCATCTGAAAGGCTGTTCCACAATTTTGCCCCTCTATAACTAAGACTTTTTTTAAGATATTCATGCAGTCTTAGGATTGGGCAAAAAGAGTTTGGTGGAAGAGCTTCGCATATTATAGTAATAAGAGGAAGACGTCCTTTGTAGAAGACGTCCTTTTTGTAAGCCCAGAGCGAAGGGACTAATACCGAGAACACCGGTAACACTCTCTTCCACTCTTGTAACATAGCGATAAACTTCCCTTTATTCTATAACTAGAGATATACTATAAGTATTCAGTAACCTCTCCCCACTCGCTAGATTTAATCATGCAATTCATCTACTGTATTATAATTAGATTCGAAAATTCACATTTTTTCAGTGGTGGGGCAGGGCCTCCAAATTTGCAACAAAAACCTTTCAAAACATTGAAATTGGCTATTTTAGCCTCAGGTGATTAAATTAAATATACATTTTATATACCTTATTATAGGAAATTAACGATGCACTTTATTAACGCGGATTTTAAAAATTCGCGTTAATTTAATTAATGTTAATTCAGGGCTTGAAATAACAGCCGATCACCGATCAATTATCGGCAAGAAATTGCTTATGATCGGCAGAAAAGCAGGGTTTCCAACCTGAAAAAGCAGGGAAAGTCATGACTGCCGATCACCATGTCCATGATCAGGAACTTTGAGAACGCTATTTCAAGCCCTGTTGATTTATGTTATCGTTAATTTCAAGAATGCAAATTTTACTGTTATCGTTGATTAAAAAGACCTTGATTTAACTCTTTTAACTCAAAATACATCATATAATATTAAAGTGCCACTGTGACCAAATTTTCATTTCTGTTTTTTTTTCCATGATTGCGAAGAATGCGTATAAAGAAGCTGTCACGCAAAATTTTAGCGTGATATCTTATATTTTGCCTGAGTTATACGACGATGAAGTTCGAATTTTGGCAGCCGCCATTAAAATCCGCCATATTGGAAAGTTCAAGTGTTCGGGAGTCTTTGACGTCATAGTAACGACTATAGTAAAATTCGATCATGACGCGACTATAGTAAAACTCGATCATGCCTTCGTAGGTAGGTAGGTAGGTAATACTTTATTTAAAATTAACAGAAAGAAGAACACGCTAGCCCCATCAACTCTAGGCTGGTTTCCATGGGGGGCGTGTTTAGATCTTAAAAATCATTAAAAGGAAAATTTAAACTAAATATACTGTACACGTTACTATATACAAATAATTAGGAAGCATGTCGCTGTCCAACAATTGATTTAAACGAATGAGGCGACTCGGCCAATTTTGCTTCGTTTGGGAGTTGATTCCAGAGCATAGCGCCGCTATATTTAAAACTTTTTTTAAGAAATTTTCGTTTCGGTTTAGGAATTGTTAGATCAGTTGCTGTGTTTCGAAGATGATAATTAGTTTGATCTATTTCTCTTCTCACGAATGACCCCCGGAGACCTGGCGCAGTGTGGTCGTTAAGTATTTTATACAATTAATACTGACTTGGCACCAGACCGCCTATTTTCAAGTGTATCCCAAGAAAGCATGTTGAGAAGATCAGCTGAGCGAGTATCATAATTAGCACCCGTTAGGACTCTTGCTGCACGAGACTGAAATCTTTGCAACTTGTCTCTTAGCAACTTACCACAAGTGTCCCAAAGGGGGGAACAGAGCGTTGTGTTGTACAAGATTGCAGCAATACTTCTGACAAAAACGCGGGTAGATCATTGCATAAGAGCCCAAATGACGAATCTTTGAGAAGAATATCGGTTAGATTTGTGCAAACTAAGCACGCCAATTTTTATCCAAGCTCGCGGGAAATTGGATTCATGATTTGTTTGGACCATTTTTCAACGGATTGTTTTGAGCGTTTTTGGATGGTTTGCAAAGACGAATCAAACCAGATTCTGTGCCTACTATTTGGAGGAAAGCGCCTGCGCAACTAACAACAAGAGACAGGCGTATGGTTTAGTCAGATATGAATATATTTTTAATAGCTACATACATATTTACATAATCTGATAAGTCCAGATCAATTATAAATTCACGCGACAAGTGTTGTTCTCATATTATTGAAAATAGGTTTAAATTTTAAACGAGTTGGGCGAAACTGCAAACAAGACTGCTACAAACGAGGATGAACCATCGAGCTGTTTTTTCAAACTCCGTGTAAGCTCGCTGATCAGTGTTCGGGAATGTTGATCATATTTTATTGTAACAACAACACGGTAATGTGAGATGCCTTAAACTGCCCGTAAAATCTCATACCAAACTACAAGCTGTCTGTAGAAAACTGCGCGTAAGAACCTTTCAAATATATAATATTAAATAAATGGGCGCGCACAATATGTTAATGCTTGTTTAATAACAACATCGGCATAGTAGGCATACTTCAATTCAGGTTGACAGCAATGACATTCACTGATTCACACCTTATAAAAAACGCAAAATAGAAGTTCAGAGATACGTTTTAATTTATTACTCCGGCAAATAAGAACACAAACTTACCAAGACGATACATCAACATGCATGGCCTTCAAAACGATTTTGTAACATATTTTCGAGCTGTTCGTCTTCTGCTACAGCTTCGTTGACCTCGTACTCGGCCACCTCTTCAGGCGAGGCAAGCGGCTCCAGCAATAGTATCATCAAATGGCAAAAATTCACTGTCAAGTTCGCTTGAATTCGCTGTTATATATCACGCCCTTAATCACATCAATTTATCACCCAACGAGTCGAATGATATCAACAAAGATTGGAAGCAATGGAAAGACCTCTTCCTTGGTGCCGCGACTGATTATATTCCACTCAAAACCTTCAAACGGCGTAGCTCTCCTCCATGGATTGACGGTGAAGTTAGGCGTCTTCTCTCAAAGAAAGACTCGTGTAGAAAAAAGGCGAAACTTTCCTCATCTGCTAATCTCTGGGAAAAATTCCGTGATCTTCGACGTGCGGTCAAGACATTAGTAAGAACCAAGCGAAGAGAGTACTTCCACAAACTTCCATCTTTGCTAAAATCGAGCAGTAAAAAGTTCTGGTCTGTCTTCAAATCTACCTCGAAACATTCTAACATTCCCAGTAAAATGTCGTGGACCCAACAAGATTCAACTTCCTCCACAGCTGAAAACCCTGCCGACATTGTCGACCTGTTAAACCGTTACTTCTACTCGGTGTTCAAACATTCCGATACTACTGACGACCATTCCCCATCTGTTGCTCCTGATAACGACACGACTGATCTTACCACCATCGCAGACATCTCGTTAACAGAAGAGGAAGTATGTGTTGTACTCAAAGCACTGGATGAAGCCAAAGCCACCGGCCCCGACAAAATCCCAGCGTTACTGCTGAAGAACTGTGCAGTTAACATCAGTTCATCTCTATGCCAGCTGTTCAACAAGAGCTTATCTTATGGAATTCTGCCGTCCGAATGGAAGCTGGCCAACATCAGTCCAATTCCAAAAAGAAACCCTATTCATGACGTAACCAACTACAGACCAATATCACTGTTGTCATTAGTTTCGAAAGTGTTTGAACGCTGTATATATAATAGACTTATAGAACACGTATACGGTCAAATTTACGAACTGCAGTACGGTTTTCTCAGGAGCAGATCTACAACATCGCAGCTGCTACACATTCTTCATCAAGTTCTTAACGTACTTGAGCAAAAAAACCAAGTTGACATTGTCTACCTGGACTTTGCCAAAGCTTTTGATAAAGTAAATCACGATCTATTACTGGTGAAGCTTCACAACTTCGGTACAAGAGGAAATCTTCTTCGTTGGTTCAGAGACTTCCTTTCTGGGAGATTCCAGAGAGTCACTGCGCTTGGTGTTACATCAAAACCACTTCCAGTTCTATCAGGTGTTCCCCAGGGATCAATTCTTGGGCCACTTCTATTCATAATTTACATCAATGATCTCCCGAAATGTGTCTCACACGATACTACCATGGCAATGTTTGCTGACGATACCAAATGCCACCGTCCTATTAAAAATTCCCAAGATAAGGTAACCCTTCAATCCGACCTGGACAACATTACCAACTGGTGTCACAAGTGGAAAATGGAGTTAAATCAAAGTAAGTGTGGAGTGTTACATCTTACAAGATCTCGTGAACCAACCATCACACAGTATACGGTGCTTGGTACCCCAGTTATCCGACCTAACAGTCAGAAAGATCTTGGCATATCTATAACTGGTGACCTCAAATGGAACAAGCAAGTGCAGGAGATTTCGTCGAAGGCCAACAAGATGCTGGGTTTCGTGAAGCGAACAACATACATGATTGGTAACCAATCGGTCCGCAAGGCACTCTATCTGACTTTGGTTCGCAGTCAACTGGCGTACGGTTGTCAAGTGTGGGCACCCCAGACGGTCAGCAACATTCTAACCATCGAACGTGTTCAGCGCCGTGCCACCAAGTTCATCCTATCTCTGCCATACCAAACAGATATCTCGTATAAAGAAAGATTGCAGATCCTTGGCATCATCCCTCTATGTTACTGGCACGAATATTTAGACATCATTTATATCTTTAAAAGTCTCATAAATGACTCTGACAGTAATATCTCGGTCAAAGTTTCAACACGAGAAACAAGAAGAGCAAGTAATGGAACTTTCCTAAATGTGAGAAAGTGCAGAACTGTCAACTACCAGAGCAGTTTTTATATTAGAGCCGCGAGCGTGTGGAACACTCTTCCTCGTTATATTAGAGACACAACTAAGTCTATAGGATCATTCAAAACAATACTACGCAAGCACTATAAAGATCTAACGGACAGTGTTTTCAACCCCGATGACCCGAGAACTCTTAAGTCAGTTTGTGTGAAATGTCACACAAGTCGTCCTTTATGGAACTTATTATCTAGACCATGTTGTTAGGTCAATCGAACCTTATATAGTGATCCCTTATTGCGTGTGCCAAATGCAATTACCATAATGCTATAATGAATATTACTTTATCTTATGGTTCAACTCCATGTACGAGACTATGAGTATAGCATTTTGGCGGTTGTGGACGGTGTGCGTGATAGGGAAAGCAGTCATTAAATTTTAATATAGCTTGCTCGATACATAAACAATCTTAACAGCTTCAAATTACTCTAGTACTTCATTCACAAGTTCAGAATTTCAAATAGGATCTCATGTCGTTGTCTTATCGTTGTTTGTTTCAATTTGTGGCCTGTTAATTTGTTTATCTGTTTATTAGTATGTCTAATATCTGTCACGCCATAGTGTAAATTATTGTTATGTTTATGTATGTTGTGGAACCCCGTTATTGGAGATTTTATCTCTGTGTGGTCATTCCAGCCATTGTGTGTAATTTATAGTTAGTTTATATCTTTAAAGTGCTTATGTCACAAAAAATGTTTTTTGATATTTGATAGAGGACAAAAAGTTAGTTAATAGGTTCTTTAACATTTTTCGGTTTTCTCTTTTCATTCGCGAGATACGAGGCTCTAAACAGCGATTTTCGTAAAATTGTCGCGTATCAACAAGAGTCTGGGACGAGCGTGGTGTGACGTAGCTTAAGGGACTTAATTTCGACGCGCATTATACATTTGATATATTTTCCAGCATGTCAGGCAGTAGCTCGGATTCGGAAAGCACTCATAGTTCTCAATGTGACTCAGAATACAATTATATTCCTGGATATATTATAGAGGATGAATCAAATGATACTAGTCACGAAATTGGAACTCTAGAAGCAGTTGATAGCGAAATTTTAGGCGATTATGATGCATGCCTTTATGCCGATGAACCGCTAGCCGGCGAAGAATGGTACGCACGATATTTCAGAAATTCAGCAGAACACAAGCAACAAAAAGAGATGCTACAGCGAAGGTTAGATGGCCTTGAAGATATTAAATTATGGTGAGTGTAAACATAGATTTATTTTAACATTTTAACGTAAAATATAAAGTATCTCTGGCTATAATATATTTTGCGGGATACAGGCTCATATGGCATCAGTCACAACAAAGAGTTAAAACCACACTTCCCTCACCTTCGCAAGAAAATACAAGACACGAGATCAAAGAAAATATAAACAGACTGGTTCAGAGCAAATTACGTATATATTCTTGTTTGAAGCTACAGTGTTTATGTGATCACGTTTATTTAATACGAACGATTGAACGATTGTATTTTCTCGCAAGTTCAATTCTTAAAGCCCATTTTTCCAAACAAATAGGTCTGAATCCCGAGTGTAGAGTGATACAGCACGGCGGCTGTGGCACATCTTCTAAAACGAAGTTATCCTTCAGAACATCCCTACAAGATTCCATCTCCTGATAGCACCAAGCTTCGTGTGTACATTGTATATGTATCATCACACAATCGCCGCATTTACACTTATGAAATATGATACAGGTGAGGGTTTGATGTGACTGATGCCGTATCAAAAATATATCAGCCAGAGATACTTATTTTACGCCGTTAAAATGTTAAATAAATCTATGTTTGCACTCATCATGATTTAATATCTTCAAGGCCGTCTAATCTTCGTTCTAGCATCTCGTTTTGTTCCTTGTGTTCCGCAAAGTTTTAAATATCGCGCGTAGCTTTTATCGCGCGTAGCATTCTTGGCTCGCTAGCGGCTCATCGGCATAAAGACAATATGCATCATAATCGCCTAAAATTTCGCTATCAACTGCTTCTAGAGTTCCAATTTCGTGACTAGTATCATTTGATTCATCTTGTATAATATACCTAGGAATATAATTGTATTCTGAGTCACATTAAGAACCATGAGTGCTGGAAAACATATGTCTTCCCAATAGCTTTTTAGTACTCCTTCACATGTGAATTCGAACTTCCGTCCCTTAAGCTACGTCACACGGGTCTCGCCCCAGACCCTTTTCCGGTTTTTTCTCGGGCGCGACAAGTTTTCGCTAAAAGCCAATTTTTCAAGGTTTAGAGCCTCATATCTCGCGAATGAAAAGAGAAAACCGAAAAATGTTAAAGAACCTATTAACTAACTTTTTGTCCTCTACCAAATATCAAAAATAAATTTTTGTGACATAAGCTAATGGCAAATTTGTAAAATTAAATTAAATTAAATATATATACATATGTATATGAATTTCCTTCTCATTTGCATTGTGGACTTGGAGCAGAAGGTCTGTCAGTAAATTGAGATGCGATCTTCTGTCGCTTAAAATGATGTTTCAAAATAACGAGGAAAATACGTTCACAGTCGCCCCCTCCAAAGAGGAACATCAAAGAAGCAAATATGGCGCATATTTTGTTATGAAAGTACTTTTGGGGGTTTTATGTGTGCTTGTCGTTGTTCTTTTGGCTCTGGTTGCAAAGGGTTTCTCTTCCTTGAAATCTTTAAACGAAAGGATGAAGACCTTGGAAGATGGAAAGTCTTTGAAACTCGAACACGGAAAAGGAGGAAGCGAACAAAAGTAGGAGAAACTTTAGGGGACTGGAGTTCTATCAGCCACACATTTTACTCTCGATTTCAATTTGCTTTTCAAAACTGACTTCCAATGTTTACTTGTAAATTCGGAATGTTCGTTGTAAAGTTCCGAAGTTTGTTTCGAAGTTCATTACGATGATTTACGATGATTCAATAGCAAGCGATTTGATTGGCTGGTTCACTTAACTAGCCAATTACAACTTACTAAACTTGATTATCGTAAATCATCGGAACGAACTTCGAAACAAACTTCGGAACTTTACAACGAACATTTCGAATTTACAAGTAAACATTGGAAGTCAGTTTTGAAAAGCAAATTGAAATCGAGAGTAACAAATTAAGTATTTTCCTATCTAAGTTTACGTCATCAATTTTTCAGCTCACTATATACAGATCTTTACGAAAAATGGACCTGAGAATTGAAATATTTATGCCCAAATTTATAGTCTATACCAAACGTTTCATTTCCTTAAATTGTCGGCTGATTCTAGCATTTGGAAAAATTAATATTAATCCGACTGCACTTGACGTCAGGACCGCTAGGTGTTTTAATATGTTTCCCCCTCTAACGTTCATGCATTTAGCGCTTCAGCAAGGCTAAATTCTCAGGAATATGCAGGTCATAAAATCCTCAAAGAGCAGCGTGGACCTGTCCAAAACCCTCATTAAGTTATAGGTATTACGATGAAGCAATGTTGTTGTGACTTCTGATTCTCTATTTTAAGAATTCATAACCAGTCAAATGAAAACGTTGGTCCAGAGAGAAATTGCACTTCAAGCGTTACAGGTATTCTTAGTGTTTTGTGTGAGAGGAATAATAATTATAGAAAAGCTTTCGTTGGTATATAGGGATGCAATTACGTGAAAAATATATTTTCAGGTAGTTGCATCCATAGCAACGAAAGCTTGTTCATATTATTGACACTACCTACACTAGCAAAGACAGTTCATATATAGTAATATAGTGCTTTTTAGGGTGGCGCAGGAAGATGCAATCATTAAGTGACTAGAAAGCCGCCAGCCGGCAGTTTAGTGGAGTGCCAGCTATATAGATTATAGTATAGTTAAAGTTGAATTTTTATAAGATAAACCGATCCCAACCCTTCTCTAATCCTAACCCCTAACCCTAACCTAACCTTTTGAGAGCTAACCTTTTTTAAGAAAACAAAATGTTAAGTCAGACAAAACACACACACACAAACAAACCTAGGTGAAGCATAAGCTCCTGGTAGTGGAGAATAAGTCTTCAATATGCAAAATGGTGCACAAGGAAACTGCTTTGTAGCACTTACTGTCTGCTATATTGATATCCTGACAGGTTTACCTCACGATCCCACGGAACCTTCTACCAAGGAATCTTGTGCAAATGTTGGTGTGACTTACATCCGGTGGGGGAAAACGACCTGTCCTAATATTACTGGAGCGACATTGGTGTATGAAGGTATTAGACAACAGAATTGTTTGATTTGTATCATGTTTCTTGCAATCAATTCGTCTTTTTTGCAAGGGGAAACAACTACTCTTTGGAGAATAGTGTTTTCAAAATATGCAGAAAATACAATTTCTTAATCCTGAGGATGACTAGAAACTAGTCGAAACGTCGATTAAAAATCAAAATGTTATTCGGAGTTACTGTTATTTTGTATTTTCTTAAAATAGTGAGTGGTTCCCGTAATTTAAACCCTTGGTTCTCGAGGATTCCAATTATCTTTACCATTTGTTTAGAAATATTCAATCCCCATGTTTTAATATTTCTCCATGGCGCATTATTATCTCCTTAGCCCTGATTTAAAGGCATGCAGGCCAATACCCATACAAAAAAGTCTATAGACCTGGCCTATAGGTTCCTATAGGAAACCTATAGGTTTTTATAGGCAATTAGAACATTTTCTATAGGTGACCTATAGAATCTATATCTCTTCGACGAAGGTCACGACTTAAAATGTTCCATGTTTTACATGCTCTATAAGTAAGGAGTCTGGAATGTAACAGTTTTTGCAAATGGTATACAGCTAATTCAAAAAAGGTTGTCCTTTGCAAACCTTAAACCCTAAACCTTAAACTCTAAGCGCGCAAAGCTTAATGGGAGCACAAGTTTCAGGCTAAGAGTTGAATATTGCAGCTATTTGTGAATGAATTGTTCTCGTAAGGAGATATTTACCATGTCTCCAAGAAATAGGCCCATATATGATTTCTAAACTGATTAAATGATGCTCCCATTATGCTTTGCACGCTTAGAGTTTAAGGTTTAAGGTTTTACAACGGACAACCTTTTTTTGAATTAGCTGTATATTACAAATTTAATTAAGTTCTTATTCGTTTCGCTTCTGGTAATTCCACATCCTGTTATTGTTGGTCGAGCACTTCCATCTGTATATTGATTTTGTATAGTAGAGTTAGATCCAAGTATTCGTGGCAATACGTTAAAGTTCAACTTGATGATCCCCAAAAATGTTCAATACCCAAAATCCCAGAGCTTACTTGCCAACAAGGCACTAGATAGCCAAACATTACTATTAAATGAAAACTTTTTATTGTGTTATAGGTTACGTTGGGGGATCTCATTTTCGTAACTCAGGTGGGGGTGCTAATTACGTGTGTCTGACACGTGATCCCATCTATAACAATACTCTATCGGGTCGACAAGATTATAATTCCCGAATATATGGAGCTGAATATGAATCTGGTAAATTTGGCATATATCCCGACATCGTGCAGAACCACGACGTCCCATGTGCCGTGTGTCACGTGACCAAACGCACCTCACAAATTATGATACCAGGTCGTAACGTGTGTCCCACGGGATGGACACGTGAATACAACGGTTACCTGATGGCCGAAAGGCATAATTACTATCGTACAACATATACATGCATGGATGGAAATCCTGATTACTCAAGTGAAACCCATGTTAGTAAAGATGGTGTTTTGTTTCATTTTGTTGAATCAATTTGTAATGGCTCTCTACCTTGTACGCCATACATTGATGGTCAAGAGCTGACATGTGCAGTATGCACACTGTAAATATATCCTCAACAGATATCATCAGGCCTTAAAATATTAGTCAGAGAACAAAATAACTTTGAATAGGACATGTGTATTGTGATGTCCGACGACTTTAAGTTCAGTTTGGTTCGGAAATAAGTAATGAATGCAGACACAAATTAATATCAGCACAATTTGGAAAAATCATTTGAATCTTGGCAATGAATTTCCGAACCCCACGGTGAAAACCCCGCATTTGATTACACATTTCCAGTTCAATTTTCATACATTACTCTGATTCTCCATTTAACATACGAGCCTCTAGTCCTGGACTAGGGTACATTTTGATTGACGTTGGACAAAGTTACAGTTAGGTCGGACACCAATACACTCGGGTCGGGCAAACAATAAACCTCAGTTTCACTTAGGTCGGACAGAATGTCCAGTGGTTTCCTCTCTACATCGGATAGCCTGCGTGGCAGGCCCTCAAATTTATGGGGGGCCTGATTTGCAGCGGGCAGGATTTTGGCGGGCTCCGGGGGAGGATTAAGGGCCTGCAGGAAAGCCCACCTTTCATGACTACACGCCGTTCAATCTCGTTCCCCGAGCCTGCGATCCTCGGAAAGGAACGCGAGGCTCTGGGATAATCCGTTTCAGGGAGGAATCTGATTGGCCGTTGAAATGAATGCGTAGTTCAATCTTAGCCAGAATTCCTGGCTTCCGGCAACGGATTATCCCAGAGCCTCGCGTTCCTTCCCGAGGATCGCAGGCTCGGGGAACGAGATTGCACGCCGTTCAGATTCTGAACGGTGAATACGATCACCTGATTGGTCAATACCAAGTCAGTGGAAAACCGTAGTATTTGTTGATTTCAATATTGTTGCTATCTAATCCTCGATCTAATCTTGAATATGTCTTGAACATCGATCGTGGCTATTTTTTCTTATTCAGCAGCGATACAAAAGATGATCTCACTGGCCAGTCGTCAGGAAATAGCACAGGATAATTGCAAACAATTAACGTGCATGGATGTAAAATTGTAAATACTGATTCTGATGATGTACTATATAAAAGTATTAAGCTCAACATCGACGGTTTGAAAACGTGTGAAGGGCGTTCGTCACTGTGGTCCAGCCACTTTTCGTTTGTAGGGTTTCGCGTCACAATATTCCCATTCGGATGACCTAAAAGCACTTTTAATGATTTAAGCACAGTTAATTTAAGTGACGAACGCCCACGAACGCCCTTCACACGTTTTCAAACCGTCGATGTTGAGCTTATTTTGGTACATCGTCGGAATCAGTATTTACATCCACGTTGTCTGCAGTACCTGTGCTATTTCTTGATGACTGGCCAGTGAGATCATCTTTTGTATTGCTGCTGAACAAGCACTGTACTTTTTTACACTGAACAAGCACTGTACGCGCAGATTTCGATTCAGGTCTAGACATACTACCCGGAAAACATCGCGGAGAATAAACGCGATTTGATTCAGTTTGGTTGAATTCACTAGCGCCACGGTCAGCGTGTCAGGAATTAACAGTTTACGCTTTCCTAGATGTTTCTACATTTTTGGGCTGGTAATGGTGTTGAAACTTCTCGTGTAGTACTGTCATGGGCGTACCGGAAGGGAAAAATTAGGGGGGCGGAAAGAAATTTGCCCGACTTTTCGGGATTGTGCCTCACTAGTACCTAAAAAATTTTTTCCGGAAAAATTATTTCGGCGACCTCTCCCCCCCCCCCCGTCGCCAAAAAAATTTCGGTCAGTGTACCATTTTAGGAGTCAAAAAAATTTTCCGGACATACCAAAATTTTTCGGAACATCACACAAATTTTCGAAATAAGACATAATTCACCACAAAATTGACTGAAATTTCGACTAAATTGACAGAATTTGTCCCTTTTATTTTTATTATACACCAAAATTGCCCGACTGCTGATCGAATATTGCCCGACTGCCCAAAAAACTGCCCGCCCGGTACTCATGATGTGAATCAATCAGAGTCACTATCTTGATAATTTTCCGATTTGCTGGGAGGCAAATGGTGTCTCCAAAGAAAGTACATGTGCAGGCAACATGAAACTTTAGACTGCAAAAAATTTCACAAGCTGTTATCAAACTCATGTCACAGAAGTGGTAAAGGACATGTGTGACAACTGGTACCCGTTTGTAAAGTTTTTGGCGAGGGGTGGGGATTTATTTTTTAATTGATATTTGAGGTTAGGTAATCATTTTTTTTTACTTTTTAATGGTTGGATCAGCAAAATGTCTGTCACGAAAAACATTTCTCTTCGTTCCCCCCCTCCCCCCACCACCATAAATAATGACCGGCCCTAACTACCATGTATAATATTATCAATTAACAACGAAACATCCATTCCTTCCATTCATATTTAGTTCCAGAGGAAAGTTTTGAGTTGCGGGGACTCGAAAATTGGTCCACAAGTTCCATGTGTGCCACGGCTGATCCTGATCTTGTGATGAATCTATATTGCACAAAGGGCTTATCTACACAATGGATCCAAACTGTCAACAGTCAATTTATGAACTTAAAGCGTTTGGAATGTATGGATGGCGGAGATCCTAATCGTGTCGTCGTCGCGCCCTGCGACCTAACTGATGTTGCTCAGAAATGGCGATGCAACAAGACAATTTATCCGTTGAAAGGAAACAAGGAACTATCATTTACGAGAGATAATAAACTGTATCTTGATTCTTTTGGAGCGACGTGGTACGATGCAGAGGATTTCTGCAAAACACCTATCGAGTATAAAGGTAAGAGGTATAACAGAAAGTTTCGAGAGTGGGTTATAGTGTATTCCCTTAATCCTTATCTGAACAACCTATGTTTTTCTTGAAGAGTTAATATCAATACAATGTAAAATGTTCGTACTGTACTAATTAAAATATCAACGAGGTTACAAAGCAAATTCGGTGCTACAATCCTGGTCAAAATCATCGGCGACACCCTTTTAAAAAATTGCCCTGTGACGTTTTCGCTATTCAACTCATGCAATAATTAACTTAATTACCAGTTATCTCCGTCCACTTCCTCCAGAAAAACAATGTTGGACGTAAGTAGATGAACCCCAGCCCCATAAAGGGACGGAAGTGTCGTCAATTATATAATAACTACAGTGAAACACGCAATTTGATTGGTCAACAGCCGTGCAGGATCAGACAATCCTGCACTGACGGGAAATTCTGAACAGAAATTCTTGCACATAATTTTACAAATATGCTCGCATTGTAAAGTTTCATTGTACGATACCTTTCGACTTTGAAGTAAGTTTCCAATTATTAAGACGTTGGTTTAGTTGTATGAATAAATTTCTGATCGATACATTGCTATTCAGCAAGTAGCAACGCGTAGCATTGAAATTCATCAGACCATGGCATGCAAGTACATCTCTCGCTTGAAAGTTGATCAAGGCTTCGAAATCTTCACATATTCAGGTCGAGAATCATCAAAACTACTTTGGCTCTCTGTTTAGCGGGTTTTCCATTTCAAATTTCGTATATTTTATCGAAAAAGTCCCTGTATTTTCGCTGTATATTTTCGCGAATTTGCGATCAAATTCTGTTCACATGTTGTTGTTTTCAATAGCGTAGAGTAGCGATTCTCTGATTGGTTAATTCACGAATGTTGTGAGAACTGCACATTTCATCAGTAATTTTAATCAAGTTAACCGTCGTTTCACTGTAGTAATTTTATAAAACAATTACCAAATGGTTTTCCCGTGCAGGATAGCATGATCATGCACTTGGGATGTTGCTCGACTTTCGGAAAGTGTAAAAATACACTCGCCTTACGGCTCGTGTATTTTTACGCTTTCCGAAAGTCTCGCAACATCCCGCGTGCATGGATCAAGCAATCCTGCACGGAAAACATTCGGTATTCCTTTATTAATGATGGTGCACACAGCTGTTAATGAGTGACTATTAGCGATAATGCAAAGCTCACTTCCCTTGTGGTTGTTTGAGCACTCTGGCCCCATTACACTCTGCGCATGTCTGGATGCGTCGATACCTTCGTGTTGTACCACATGCGCTTGGCTCATGTGTATAATAAATACGGAGGTATCATGTATCTAGACGTGTGCCAAGCTGCACTGACGAGGCGTTGAACGCCGAAATATGCATGTCTGCAGATGTTGGGATGTTAGGGTTTGTAATCCAAGTGAGAATATATACATTTTAAGACCTAACCAGGAACGACTGCGAAAAATCCAGCACAAGGTCCTCTGGTAGGAATTGAACCTACGGCCCTGCGATTCCGGTGCAGCGCTCTAACCGACTGAGTACAGAGGTCAGCTGTTGAGCGTAACCGTAAGTTCATGTATACTATTTAAAGCACGCGTAGGAGTGTTTTATCACATACAGCAAGCATGTTTGCCGATGACACAAATGTTTCAACCAATGGCAAAACAAATGACGAACTACAAGAACGCATTAACGTGGACTTAGAAAATATACACCAATGGTTACTTGCAAACAAACTTACACTTAACAAAGATAAAACTGAATACATGATTATTGGTTCAAGACAACGAATTTCAAACTTAGTACTAACGGACCCTAAAATTGAGCTTGGTGAATCAGTCATTAAACGGGTTCACAAATCAAAAACTTTAGGCGTAATTATTGATGAACATCTTTTATGGAATCATCAAATCCAAAATATTGTCACAAAAGCTTCAAAAGGAATAGGAATGATGCGACGAATAAAACAGTTTGTTCCCAAATCAACCTTAGTAAAAATATATAATACCATTGTGCTATCACATTTTGATTATTGTAGCTTGGTTTGGGATAACTGTTGTGATTACTTAAAAAACAGACTTCAGAAATTACAAAACAGAGCGGCCCGAATCATCACTGGTAAAACTTATGAAGTTAGTTCTGAGGATGTTTTAAAAGAATTAGACTGGCAACCTTTAAACCAACGCTATAAAACCAATAAATCGATTTTTATGCACAGAATACGAAACGAAAAAATGCCATCATCAATTTGCAACATGTTCAAAATTAAAATAAATGACAGATATGATTTAAGAAGTAACAATAACAACTATGATCTTGGAAAACCTGAAACAAATTTTATGAAAAAGAGCTTCAGTTATTCAGCTGCATCCCTTTGGAATGACTTATCAATTACAGCAAAAGAAAAAGGCATTAGCCTTAACAAATTTAAACGTATTCTTGACGGCACTTGATTCCTTTTGGTAACTTTGTAAATATTTAAATAGGATAGAATATTTTTAGATACAAATGTAGTGCATGCAATTATTAAGTTCGTTATGTTTTCTCTGTTTTTGTGTGTATATTTGTGTTATTATATTTATATAGCTTGTAAATACTGTAATAAACGGCCTCTTGAAAAACAGGTGCCTACGAGCCCTGAAGAGCTACCGTTTTAAAATATTTTTAAATAATAATAATAATAATAATAATAATAAATAGCTTAAAAATCGACTCATCTTATACGAGTTCATTGCCGAAGTAATTTTTAAAATAAACTTTGTCTAAATCGAGAAAATCAAAGCTAAAGTTTATGTAAATTAACATGATTTTTTATCACACATAAAACCACGACACGCTTATGATTTTTCTTTGTGTTTTGCTCCTGAATTATTAATGAGTTTTTTAAGTATATATAGGTAATCGGGTGTGCGGGTTGTGATAAGGTGGACTTGAATGACTTAGATTCTTGCACTTCACTTGGTGGAATTAATATTAGGATGTTAGGGTTTGTAATCCAAGTGAGAATATCTGCATTTTAAGACCTAACCAGCGGTTAGGTGCTAAAATCCAGCACAAGGTCCTCTGGTAGGAATTGAACCTACGGCCCTGCGATTCCGGTGCAGCGCTCTAACCAACTGAGCTACAGAGGCCAGCTGTTGAGCGTAACCGTAAGTTCATGTATATATAGATAAACGGGTGAGCGGGTTGTGATAAGGTGGACTTGAATGACTTAGATTCACTTGCACTTCACTTGGTGGAATTAATATCAGGATGTTAGGGTTTGTAATCCAAGTGAGAATATCTACATTTTAAGACCTAACCAGCGGTTAGGTGCTAAAATCCAGCACAAGGTCCTCTGGTAGGAATTGAACCTACGGCCCTGCGATTCCGGTGCAGCGCTCTAACCAACTGAGCTACAGAGGCCAGCTGTTGAGCGTAACCGTAAGTTCATGTATATATAGGTAAACGGGTGAGCGGGTTGTGATAAGGTGGACTTGAATGACTTAGATTCACTTGCACTTCACTTGGTGGAATTAATATCAGGATTTTGTAATCCAAGAGAGAATATAATAAATATACATTTTAAGACCTAACCAGGAACGACTGCGAAAAATGCAGCACAAGGTCCTCTGGTAGGAATTGAACCTACGGCCCTGCGATTCCGGTGCAGCGCTCTAACCGACTGAGTACAGAGGCCAGCTGTTGAGCTGTAACCGTAAGTTCATGTACTATTTAAAGCACGCGTAGGAGTGTTTTATCACATATAAAACACGACGCGTAGCGGAGTGATTTATATGTGATAAAACACGACTACAAGTGCTTTAAATAGCTTAAAAAACGATTCATCTTATACGAGTTCATTGCCGAAGTAATTTTTAAAATAAACTTTGTCTAAACCGAGAAAATAAAAGCTAAAGTTTATGTAAATTAACATGATTTTTTATCACATATAAAACCACGACACGCTTATGATTTTTCTTTGTGTTTTGCTCCTGAATTATTAATGAGTTTTTTAAGTATATATAGGTAATCGGGTGTGCGGGTTGTGATAAGGTGGACTTGAATGACTTAGATTCTTGCACTTCACTTGGTGGAATTAATATTAGGATGTTAGGGTTTGTAATCCAAGTGAGAATATATACAATTTAAGACCTAACCAGGAACGACTGCGAAAAATGCAGCACAAGGTCCTCTGGTAGGAATTAAACCTACGGCCCTGCGATTCCGATGCAGCGCTCTAACCACCTCAGCTACCGAGGTCAGCTGTTGAGCTGTAACCGTAAGTTCATGTATATATAGGTAATCGGGTGTGCGGGTTGTGATAAAGTGGACTTGAATGACTTAGATTCTTGCACTTCACTTGGTGGAATTAATATCAGGATGTTAGGGTTTGTATAATCCAAGTGAGAATATATACATTTTAAGACCTAACCAGGAACGACTGCGAAAAATGCAGCACAAGGTCCTCTGGTAGGAATTGAACCTACGGCCCTACGATTCCGGTGCAGCGCTCTAACCAACTGAGCTACATAGGCCAGCTGTTGAGCTGTAACCGTAAGTTCATGTATATATATAGGTAAACGGGTGTGCGGGTTGTGATAAGGTGGACTTGAGTGACTTAGATTCTTGCACTTCACTTGGTGGAATTAATATCAGTATGTTAGGGTTTGTAATCCAAGTGAGAATATAATAAATATACATTTTAAGACCTAACCAGGAACGACTGCGAAAAATGCAGCACAAGGTCCTCTGGTGGGAATTGACCTACGGTCCTGCGATTCCGGTGCAGTGCTCTAACCAACTGAGCTACAAATGTCTGCAGATGTACTATATATATATATATATATATATATATATATATATATATATATATATATATATATATATATATATATATATATATATATATATATATATATATAGAAAGACACAAAAACTTAGCAAGCTTTATTTGGCATATTTATTACTATACAGTTTCATACCACGTAAATAACGTGGCACTCTTCAGATAAAATAGCCTATGTTTGACCT